GGCCTCAGAGGGGTGAAGCACCCGAGAGCAGCCGGCGTGGGTTTCCCCAGCAGCAAGCTGTCCCCGACCGAGCACGGAGTGGAGGCTTTGAGTGCTGTAAAGCCATGGCCCGTGAAGTATTCTGTCTGCTGTCCTCTGCCGTCCCTCAGGTTAACGTCTCGCTAGCTCTGTCGGGGGCTCTCGGCAGCCCTGGTGAGGGGGTTTGGGTGGTTTAAGGTGTCCTGGCACAGCTCAGCCCTGGCGCGGGCACCCCTCGTGCTGCTCAGTGCCGCAGAGGCACAAAGCGGGGTGTGGGGCTGCCAGAAATCCGCTCCCCGCATCCCCCGGAGCACCAGGAGCTGCCCGCGGCGCTTGCTGGGGTCGGGGTCGGGGGTTGAGCTGCTCCTCGGTTCGGAGCGGCTGTCCCGGGGTGAGCGTTAAAGAACGTGACGGGGTCTCAGAGCTGGGCCAGCACCGCGGGGGGGGTCTGACCTTCGTCATTATGCAGGACATTCTGCAGTTCAAACAGGTTTTGGTGATTTCCCAGGAACTTTCAGCTCTCAGTGCTTCCCCAGTTTCCAAAACCCGTTCTGTTCCCCAGCTCCAGCTGATTCTCCTCCTCCTGTCCCGATTCTCCTGAGGCCGCTGCTGGCTGGGGCGGTCTGGGGCCATCGGGGTCCCTCACCTGAACAATCCTCATCAGAATCCACCGTTACACTTCGGAGAAAACGGTCTGTTTCACGGGTACTTTATGTCTAGCTTTTCATGACCTTGCCTTTCCAAATTTGTTACCCCCAGTTAATTACTTATTTCTTTTGTTACATCTGAAACTTAACATCTGAGGCCGATTGGTGGCCACTCAGGGGGGCTGTGCGGGGGACAAATGAGCAGCGTTGGCATTGACCTGTCAGTGTTGTTCTTAGAGCACCTGTATCCTTTTGATTAAACCAATATTTATTAAATATTCCTGCTGTTAATAATATCCCAAGAGAAAAAAGAGTTTTCTAAAAGCTTGTTCATTTACTGTGAGGCAGCGCAGAGTCAGCAAGAGAACCTCCCCCCATCCCCGAAAGGGCCCCGGGTGGCTCCGTACGGCCCCGGGGGGGGGCAGTGGGCACCTGTCCCAGCGGGGGGGTGACTGGTGCCCCGGGAATTAGTGACAGAACGAGAGGGAACGGCTGGAAACTGCCCCAGGGGAGGGTTGGGCTGGGCAGGAGAAAATGTTTCCCAGCAAGAGTGGTCCGAGAGTGGAACAGGCTGCCCGGGGAGGGGGGAGTCCCCATCCCTGGGGGGGTTTCAGGGCTGTTGGGATGAGCTGTGGGGGATGTGGGGTAGGGGAGAGCTTTGTGGAGTCGGGCTGAGGGTTGGACTCGCTGACTCCGAGGGGCTTTTCCAGCCTGAGTGATTCTGGGATTAGCTGGGAAGTCACAGACTGTCGTGAAGCGCCTGAGCCCTGCTGAAATTCGTGGTGATGGCATGAACTTAGTTTAAGCTTTGAGGCTTGTTCAGATGGTACAAGCCTAAAGTAGAGCTGAAGGTTCAAACCCAGTCAGGTCCAGTCGGCCCCCAGAGCTTGGTGGCTCACCCCCAGCCCTGAGCCCGTGGGCACAACCAGAGTTCTTGTGATTTCAAACCATTTATTTTCCCATCCTGGGCCATTTCCTGACCTCGGATGGGCTCCATCCCTTCCTCTGCTCATTCCTGTCTGAGATTTGGAAACCTGCCCGATTCCAAGGTGGATTTGCAGTGGCGCAGTGTCCTTCAGGGAGAAGGCCCCCGGCTGATTCGCAGCCCAGGCACGGTGACACGGTTAAGTAGGGCAGTGGCAGCTGAGCAATCAGCACAGCGTGTTTATAGATTATTTCTACGAGGCCGTGATGCAGCTGAGGCTGTGGGCTCAGTGCTGAGGGGTCTGCTGAGGACACGCATGGAAAACTGCCAGCAAAAAGGGACAATGTGCCGCGGAGGCTGGGGCTGAGCGCCGGGAAGGGCCCGTTGACAGCGAACCCCCAGCGCTGTGGCCAGGGCCGGGGCCGAGGAGAAATCCCATGTGGAGGAGACGAGAGCCCCTTGCTCAGCGCCCTCGTGTTCCTGCACCCGGGGCTTGTGCTCCCGGGTGCCGCTGTGGTGGGTGTAGAGGGGCAGATTGTAGAGGCCTTGTGAGGGGGAGGGAGTATGAAACGAGCAGGAGGTGGGGAAATGAGGGATTTGCTCAAATGTTTACTGGGCTTGATATTGGTACGGGGCCCTGCCAGCTGCTCCCCTGCTGCCGTCTCTCTCAAAATCCTTGAACCCTTCAGGTTGGAAAAGCCCCTCGGGGTCATCGAGTCCAACCCTCAGCCCGACTCCACAAAGCTCTCCCCTACCCCACATCCCCCACAGCTCATCCCAACGGCCCTGAAACCCCCCCAGGGATGGGGACTCCCCCCTCCCCGGGCAGCCTGTTCCACTCTCGGACCACTCTTGCTGGGAAACATTTTCTCCTCCTGCCCAGCCTGACCCTCCCCTGGGGCAGTTTCCAGCCGTTCCCTCTTGTCCTGTCCCTGATCCCCTGGGAGCAGAGCCCAGCCCCAGCCTCTCTGCAATGTCCTGTCAGGAGCTGCAGAGAGGGATGAGGGCTCCCCTCAGCCTCCTCCTCCTCACACTCCACTCCTGGCTCCCTCGGTCCTGGTGCTCGGAAGCAATAACCTGCTCAGCCCTCACTTATCTCCCTATTCGCTGCTAAAACGTGAGAGACCCCCGGAAGGGCGGCGCGTGCCGAGGTGGGTGCCCGTGTCCATGCTGGCCGTGGCCGTGGCTCGGGTCAGGTTTGGGGTCGGCAGGAGCGTTCTCGCGCCC